AGCGAAGAGAGCAGAGTGAAAAGCATGGTGTTGGGTGGACGACTTTCGTTGACAACCATAGCAAGAGGGTATCAAGAGGCGCTTTGAGAGTGGTTTTCAATCATTATGGAAAGGTGACGCAAGTTGTCATCCCCAAAAGATTAGGAAACCCAAGTACAAGGATTCCACATTTGCTTTCGTCTGGTTTGCTTCTCAGACCGATCTGGAATGCTGCATTATAAGAATGAATAATCCTAAAATTGAGGGTCGAGTCATCGCGGTTTCGAAATTGAAGTTTCCATCTCAGGCTCATAGGAGGTTTCAGAAAAAGAGGCTTGCAGCATCTGTGGACAAGCTAGGAGAAGCATCGTACAAGAATACGAATGCGAAGGTTTGGATAAAGAAGATTAGGGACTCGAGATCGTATGCTGAAGTCCTTGTAGTGAGGGGAGAATCTGGGGAAGAGGCTGGTTTGGACACATTCCAGTGGTTGAACAGGAGGAGGATCGGGAGAAGGCAAAAGTCTACAGGAGTTCCAGATACTAGCAGAAGAAACAGAGTGGATTGAGCATTCGTTATTAGGGATGGTTAAGGACAACTACGATATGGAGTCTGTTCAAAGAGCTTTAGAGAATGAGGGGATTAATGCTAAGCTTGCTAAATGGGGAAACACTCAGAGTTCTTGTATTATTACTTTTGGGCTTTCTGGTTCAAATACCTAGCTCCCATTAAAGATAAGTCGAGTCATGCTTCAGCATTTTTCTCATGCCTCTTCAAAGGGGTCCCCCTGCAGCTTTGGCATGCAAGTTTTTTCTCAGCTTTGTGTAATAGGTGGGGTACTTTCGTCGATTTGGATGATTTTATGAGAAATCTGGAGGATATCTCAATGGCGAAAATGTTCGTCAGGGCGACAAGCAGGTCTGACATCCCTAGTTCTTTAAATATTTGATTGTGTGGATGATCGTTTGTAATCAAAGTTGTGATTCTTGAGGCATCGAATGATTTGGTGAATCATATATCCGAAGAAGAAATCGGTAATTTCATCGACGTTTGGGATTCGGAGGAGAATGTTGATCAAGTTTCTTTGTTTTTCGATGGTGGTGATGTGGCAACGAAGAGGGCCATAATTGTGATGCTTTAGCTTCTGCAACGGGAATCATCCCTGAGGTGGTGGCGTCAGAGCCAAGAGGAAATTCATTATCCTACGTGCATGAAAGCGGCGAGAATTCCAATAATTTAGGGAGTAACGAGGATGGAATTTTGGCTACAAACATGTTTAATGATAATGGAAGAGTGGACCATAGAGGGACGTTGGTGTCTCCTGAGGATAATTGTTCTACGTTCTCTTGCTCTCTTTCATTTGGATCGGATGGAAGGAGCTCTAGGAATTTTGGGCTGTGCAGTCCTATGGTTCGATTGGATTTGAGTGGAATGGAAATAAACGGGCTCAACCCAGGTATCATTACTCTATATTTCGGGCAAGAAGGGAATCATTTTTCTGGCTAAGTTGATCTTGTCCCAGAGAGCATAGCCAACAACAACCTCTCGTATAATAATATGATCGCCTACAGAGAAAGAGAGGGCATCTCGCAAATGTTTTCATCTCAAGTCGTCCTCGATTCTTTACTTGTCTATACGAGGAGGGAAGCGATGGGTTCAAAGGTTGTGATTAGAAGAGAGGCCCGCAAACAAATAAGAGAGAGTCTTGAAGGGACTGTTCGATCTACAGCTGAATTTTCTGTTAGCAGACGAGCATATGGGTTGCTTAAGGAGGCAGAAACAGTCTGGGAAGTAAGTAATATACTTTAATTGTCATTAAAAAGAGGCAAGGAAGTGGTTATTGAAAAGGTCCGAGCCTTGGAGGAGGAATTGAGGTGGTGGTTTGTTGCCTGAGGACGTGTTTAATTTGAAGGGTTTCTACTGGTTTCAATGAATCTGTTACTAGTAACTTGGAAAGGTAGGGGGTTTGGGAGGTCGAAAAAATCCAGATCAGACAACAGATTAATCAGGAAGTCGAAAAAATCAGCATTTTAGCCCCTGGAAACAAACCATTGCTGCAAAGTATAAGATCGACCTTGCCACCATCCTCCTTCCAAATTCGCAGTCGCATGGGGTATCCTGGATTTGGCGTGGAATCCTATCTACTTATATTGGTGTTGGTGAAGATATTAGTCTGAAAGAGCTTTTCCAACTTCAAGTCAATGATGGTAGTGTAATAAGGTTTTGGCAAGATAGGTGGCTCGACAATCACCCCCTAAAAGAGATGTTTCCGAGAATTTATGCTTTGACTTTGAATGAAGAAGGGATGGAGTTGGAATATTTTGCTTAGGAGTGATGTCTTTGATTGGGAAAAGCTGTAATGGGAGGCGATGATCCAGACTCTTAACAATTTTGTGAGCTCATCGTCATCTACGGACTAGGTCAAATGGCTCGACTCTAGTGATGGATTATTTCAGTTAAATCAATGTCGCTTCTTAAATATCCTAGTGGGCCAGTTGAGTTTAATTGGAAGAAGTTCGTTTGGTTGGGAATCGCTCCTTTCAAAGTGGAAGCCTTTGTTTGGAGAGTACTTTAACGGAGAGTTCCAGTCAAGGCAGAGCTTATTAAGAGAGAGGTCGCGTTGCCAGATACAATATGCCCGGTCTGTTCAAAATTTTCGAAATCTGTTGATCATTTATTATTCTCCTGCGACACTTTCTGAAAAGTTAGGGGTGTCTTTCTCACTTTGTGGGGAGTCTCAATTGCATTGCCGATTGATCCCATCAGTTTTATTACGGTTTGGAGGGATTCCTCCCCTTGAATCTGTATCGAAGGATAGTTTGGAGCACCTCGCCTTCCGTTGTCATATGATTAATTTGGTTACATAGAAATGACTTGGTGATACATGCACCACACGCCACAACCCTAAAAAAAGATGAACCGAGTATTCCACTTGGTCTAATCACAAGAAATTGGGCTAAACTTCTAAAGGACAAGCTCAAGATTGTCGTCCAAGCCTTCATCAGCAAAGGATTATAGGCCCACATGGAGACTGAAGAATTCAAGGAAGGAAATCCACTCATCCTTCCTCCCACATTCACTTAGATCACCACAAAACAAGTTGAATGTAATTCAGGATCAAATTGCAAGATTCAAGAATAACATAATAGTAGAAGACTTGTGACTGCTTTTTCAAAGAGATCCTGATATTATTTGGTCAACATGTCTCCTGGAGTTACGATCGGTTGTCTCTTAGCTTTCTAATGGTTTTTAAATCTCCTCAATCCAATATTGAAAACTCAAGATACACTCATTTTAGTGAAGAAAGTGCTACAAAAATTTATATACGTGATTAATACGAGATTTTGTAAATATTACGAATTTTTAATATTTTTATTGATTATTTGTAATATAATTTAATATATGATGATGCATTATATTTTAGGATTATATTTATTATTTTATTAGGAATTAAGATAGAGTTAAAATAATTATCTTTAGTTTATTATTATTGTTATTTTTATTATTATTTTCAAGCATTAGTCATACTATAACAATGTATCTTTCACCCTATATAAATGAGGCTCCTGCTACTATTGTAAACACATCTTATCTTGAATATAATACATTGAGAGATTATCTTTGCAAGTGTTGATTAATTGTTCATTCGAAGCTTCTTTTCATTAAGTTTTTTGCGATTAGGTGGGCTGGTTAGAGTCATTTATTGAGTTTTTCTTTTCATTGCGACTAAAGGGTTCGATAAGACAATTATCCATCTATTTCAATCTTCCACAACTCCATCATCTTCTTCTTACATTCAAATCATTTTGTTTTCTTCGTCGTTTTCTTCATCGAATCTAGGGCTTTCTAGGTTTGATTCTTCAACGACAAGCAACGTTTATCATCCGCTAACGCATCTCTATCACTTGGTATTCAATGGTAAGAAGCTAGATGTGCTACAATTGGTTTCTCTCATTAAATATCGCGTTGCTTGCTGGTTAAAGGTCAAGTTTCCAGCCTCCTCTTTTAGCTTGGAAAATCTGGCAGCGAATTTAGCACTTGCGGACGATGCTCTCTTGAAGAAAGCTGGTAAAGACTCATCCGTCTTGGCTCCCACAATCCCACCTCCGAGAGGCTCTTTAAAATATAACGTAGATGGTGCGATGTGAGTGGACAGTAGCGGTGGAGGTATTAACGGGATTCTCTGTGATCTTGATGGTATCTTGCTTCTAACTTTCTCAGTTCCAATTGGGTGCGGATCCTCGGTGCAAGCGAAAATTCTGATCGTCGAACATGCTATTAAGCTGTTCATGGGCTCTAAGTGATTCAAGGTATTCGAGCTTATAATTGAATGTGACTACGCTGCACTGGTGAATTGGCTTCGGAATCCTGGTTACGCTCCACCAGAATGGGCGCATATTCTTCACCCTATAGCAGCGTTAGTTCTACGAGAAAAGTTTATCGTTAAGCATGTCCCTAGAAGGTGCAACTCGGCTACTAACCAGCTAGCGAAACTGGCGATAGGCTCAACTACTGCCCAAGTGGAGGCTTTCGAGAATGATTTTGGGATTTTCCTTTGTTCAAAGTCGGGCGAATTTATTATATTTTTGGGTGTTATGTCTGGCTCGTATCCGGGGGAAGTTTGACCTTTTAGTATTTCTTCGTAGGTTAGCATATGGGATCAATGGCACTGATTCTGTACTGTCTTGGTTTGTCAGTATCTACGGATTGGATACGAGGCTGTTCCCTGGGTGGTTTCTTTTGCGTTCATAAAAGGATCGACTTTATTTCTCGATTCATTGCTATGGGTACAATCCTTTTTCCCCCATTTACGTCTAGAGAAGTTTTTTAACAAGACCCTAGCAATGAGTATATCTTTCCGTTCAGTAATAATATTCCTACTTTTCAAAAAAAAATTGCGAGAATTAAAAGGTTGAATAAGGACCGGTTGGTGAAAGATATATTTAACAGTATTGAAAATGTTGACTTTACATAATACTAATTTTAAATTAATAAAAACAAAAATACGAGCAAAAGGCTCACTGTAATAATTAACATGTAGCAATTGGCCGAAAAAACAGGAGCAATATCAGGCCAAATATCTAAATGTGTTGGGATTCTCCTTGTCTCTCTCCAGGTAGTCCCTCGTGATCAGATCTTCGATCCTCTTCTTTATGGCTTTAATATCAGGCTGCAAACATACATTACCACCCCCATCAGTGCTTTTGTAAAACCAAAAAAAAAAACCCATATCTATGTGATCTGATGTTTCTCTCTTAACTACATGCACACAGGGTTGGCGTGTATTAATTTACCTTGAACATGCGACTCAACTGCTCGACACACTCCGAAACCAATTGTTGGTGCCCCAAAACCTTCCTGCTCTTCATTATGCGTACAATTGCAGCATCAATAGCATAACGCCGATCTTTATCAACATCTTCTACTACTTTCTTCCTTTCATCCACAGGAGGGAGAGGAATCTACGCAAAAGATGATTTACAAAGTTAAAATTTTCTCATCCTAATAAAAGCAATAACCACAAGAGAGAGAGAGAGAGAGAGAGGGAGAGGAATGCCAGAACCGTCCCGGACCTTAATTCTCCTCAACTTGTCGGTAAACTTAGAGTTGAACTCAAAGGAGTCGCTCTGGGAGATGATTTTTGTGTTTGGCTCTTTACTTAGAATCTTATACTTTGCACATGACAGTGAAAGTAGTAATCTGGCCAAGTCTTCGTGAGTCAAGTTCAACTGAGCCATTATCTCCGAATAGCATAGCTGATCAGAAGTGTTGAAAAGCAGGAGGACTGCAGCCTGTTTACATAGGCAACTGGAAGTTAGATTTGACAATCAAATACAACACCAGAACCGAGCAAGAGACGGACATAAATATAAGCGGAACCAGCGTTTTAATATAGAAGTTCCATAGTTTATAGATTCTGTTCACCTGATATGTTGAAACAACCAGTTCAATAGTTTTCAGATCAAACTTTCCACTAATGTGGCAAGTTCCTAGGGAGTATATCCATGTAAGCTTTCTGTGTTTTGTTTTTGTTTCGTAGAATCCTTTGAAAACTTCCACACACTTGACCTGAAATAATAATATTAAATACAATTATATTTCTGAAAACATCATGGAGAAAGATTTAATACTTCCATCATGTGATATATCATGTTTAAAGTCATTACCATCTCAGCAGGTAGATTGAGGTCAAACGATTTATAACTTGGCCAGAATCCTGTTGTGAGAACAGTAACTGTTAAATCGATCCCAGGATGTGCAGCTGAGTTACTCCTAAGATAGTCCTCAAAGCTGGCCTGGTTTTCCCTTGCCAATGTCAGATCTGTGACCTGTTAGAAAGACAGACAAATTTCACGAAAATTAAAACCATAATTAGTGTGAACAAACAAACTAGTGAAACACAGCCCAACTCACCATGCCCTCCATCTTTGAGGTGAACTGTCCACCACAATGCTGCTTCAGCTTAGTAAGAATACTCCTTTCATGATCGTCATTAGCACTGCGGTCAAATAGCAATCGACGAGCAAGCTTCTTCCTGTTAGTGTTTGCGCACAATTAAGTTAGGATCAAAATGTACCATGTAAAACTATGTCAAGAGAAACTTAATTGACAATAATAAATAAACAAAATATAAATAAATAGTAGCCTCACCTATAAAATTCGGCAAAGAGGTCTTTGTCATTAATATAGGCAAGCAGCTTAACCACCTGCAGAAACCAAAAAAATAGTTCAGAATCAATTACAGATGAGAAAACAAATTTAACATCAAATGATGGATAAGTCACCTTCTCAAGTGTTTCTTCAATTGCTTCATCACTTAATTTCTCACTTCCACCCTTCTTGAGGATATTATCACAGAATGTTGCCAAAAGCTCGGCACTTGAACTTCCGGTAACAGGTTTGTTGCAGAATACCTCAAAAGCCTCTTTCAAAGCCTAATGGAACGTTTCAACAAAGTCTGTTTTAGGCGAAATGATTGAATACGATCCATATTAAAAGTTTAGTCATTACGACACAAACCTTGTGGAACAGAGTATGGTTTTGAAAAGAGTCGGTCACATATGTCATATGCTTATCATGCAGCTTGATTATTTTCCTTACAAGGGCCTGATGATAACAACATTACAAGATTTTCAGCATCCATAATGATCTCAAGAATTCATAACTGTGAAAGTTGGAATATTTACCTGTTCCTGCACAGCTGGAGCATTCGAGGCCTACGGAAATGAGTGAATATCAGCACTTAGAACCAGAAGGTGAAAATTAGAAACAAAACTCTGCAGTGGTTGGCAGTTGGCACACCAAAGGCATATCAAACTTAGCAGTAACAGGAACTTAACAAGCACAACAATAAATAATGATTTAGGTGCCATTTTAGGTGTATTTTGGTTTTCCTTGACCCTTGTGCATTATCCAACTAGCTTTTGGTTTATCAATAATAATAAATAAATAATGTTGTGCTGGCCTGAAATGCTTAAATACTACTTTGCACCCATTCTGTTAATTAAAAGACAAAACTTTCATCCCCTCATAAAAATTACTAATGTAGAAAGAAACTTCAACTGTGGATCAGAAGAAAATAGATAAAAGTATCCACTATTCAACAATTACAATTGTTTCCGTAGAAGGATAATAACATAATTACAAAACTTTCATCCCCTCGTAAAAATTACTAATGTAGAAAGAAACTTCAACTGTGGTTCAGAAGAAAATAGATAAAAGTATCCACTATTCAACAATTACAATTGTTTCCATAGAAGGATAATAACAAATTAACATAGTTACTTACAGCATCTTCTGCCTGTTGAACCAAGGCTGCTCCTTCAGCAATAACATGCTGCAAAAAGAAAGTTTTTCAAGTTTTGGTTTTAGGGACATGAGAAAGATGACCATTTGACTAGCAGAACACAGAAAACAAAATATTCAAACCTGCTTGAATATATTGGCAACAGGATCCAAGCCTCGAGGTATTTTGCAATAAAGCCTATACATCCTAGAAAGATCCTCCACCTACAAAGTGTAAAGAAGGCCAAGTTAGTATCTAGCGTGTAAATGGACCTAACGGCCAGAAGATTAAGCATGGCAAGAAAAGAAAAAGGGTTGAACAACACCTTGTCATCTATAAGCAAGGCCCTACACCCTGAATGCTCCTTTTCAAGTAGCTGATTGGCATATGTAACCAACAACTCATGTTGCACTTTCTAGATAAGGAAGAAACGGTTATCAATAGAATGCTCTAGGAGTTACAGAGCTGTCCTGACAGGAACTTATCATTAATTCTTATCACATCATTCCATGTCATTCCATATATCAAAAACATGCAATCTCATTTCACAAAGCTTCCCTTGTTATATCTAAGTGACAACTTTCATACAAACAATATTCATTTAAGTCACCCCCATAGAGCAGAGAATTAACAAATTTCATTAATCACCAACCTTTCAACTCACCTCTAACAATTTCACCTCACTGCTTGAATGCAGGTAATTAGACACTCTTTCCCTTTCCTTCTTCAAGCATTCTTCAGACTGAAATAATCATTAAAGTAAATAAAAAAACTATAACCATTTAAATTAATCGGAATAAAATTTTAAACCTATATATATATATAAAGCAGGGAAACTTTAGGAATTGCCTTCAACATGTACTCGGGACAAGAATCTTCATAACGATCTATATGTCCCATGCCAATCTCAACAAAAATGTCCAATACATTCTTCAATAATGCACGGTCTATCTGATCTCCCTCACGTTCTTTATCAATCTGATACAAAGTAATCATTCCGCTTTAACTTTTTATTCAAAATGTGACCTAAATATACAATCAACCAAGAGGCAATAATGTCAACTTACAAGGGAAATTAAAGCATCATTGACTTTGGCATGCACTTCCTGATATACCTGAAATTAATAAAACAAATAGTAGAGAATTATTTAAAGGTATATGTTAAGTGCTGGGCAGCACAGCTCTCAGAATCCAGCCCATTAAATCATAATCAGTATTGGATAAAGGTGATACTAGAAGAACTAGTCACAGACCAGATCACGGAAGCAGGCCAGACCAACTTCATTAAGCGCAGGGAGTGATCTCCGGGCAATGAAGTAGCGATCAAGGTAATGGAAGAAGCGTGATAGCCACCTGACCATTACTTTATGGTTTCCCCATCTTTTAACAAGCTCCCTCAGCGTGAACTCATCATGCTTCTCTCTTAAAGACGGCAATACCTAATTCCAAGAAAAGAGAGGAAATTTGATAAAAAAAAAACACATTCACACACAAAAAAATGTAAATGGATGAATATCCTTGGGTTTCTTTTTCATAAGGCAAATGAAAGAAAAAATTGCAAAGCCTCTAAAACAAACTGTATTTTATGTATAAGACCAATCTGTCTATAGAACAAGTCGGCAACCAAATGATGGCTGAGATAACACCAACCTCCTTACCGTTGAAGTAATGTATTCTTCAAATGCCTCTCGGTAATTATCATAGAGCTGCTGAGAATAATCATAAGGCGCCTTTTGAGTACACATGTTGTATATAGTACTGCAATAGTTCCAATAAAGGAATATGATGGGGATTTAAAAAAAGTATCAGATAATTGAAAAATAGTAATTAAACGGTTCAAAGCAAACAACAAAACTGAAGATAAGCAATGAGAGATACGTGTAAAGCATCATATATTCTTCTGAGGTAAACGGAGGCTCCGGCAGTCCTTCCAATATCCTCCTTAGCTTTTTGATCCCCTTATGCATATAGCCCCATCCCTGATCTAATTCGATAGTCTTGCGCTCCATTGTTGTAAAAGAAAAGCTAAGATTTCTTCAAATTAAAACCTGATAAAAAAAACACATAACAAAACAACACTAAACACCTGGGAAGACAAACAATTAAACAACAACAATCAACAAAAACCCTAGCATGAAATTTGGCAAACAGAATTCAACAAATAATCGAATTCTACTCGTAAATAAATAAATAACGATATAACAACCGATGCAGGTCAAACACTAACGGGAAAAATAAAGAACAAAACCAGCGGAAACCATAACCTCTAAACAATGTCACACGGCAATCCAAGAATATAACATAGCCAAAAAGCCGATCAAAATTATATATAAAAAAAAGAAACAGAGAAGAAAACCCGAAAACTCAGATTCCAAAGAAAACAAGAAAATAAAAACGAGACTAATATTACTTACAGACAAACAAGCAACCATTAATGGGGTTGTGGAATAGAGAGTTACTGAAGAGAAAAGGAATCCCTGGCCTTATGAAAGCTGAATTAGGGTTTGCAGAGCAAAATCATTTTACTCCAACTAAACACACAAAAAATCAGAAACCAATTACTTGAAATCAACACACTTTTAATTTGTTTTTATAAACTCTTTTTTTTAGATTTTAACTTATTTTATTTCTCTTTAATCATTTAATAGAACTATTTTTTATTAATTTATAGCGAGTAAAAATTGTCAATAATTTGACGGTTAAAGTTTATGACACTTATAGTTTATGGGAATAACTAGTTTGTTTAATCTATTGATAAATTAGTTCGTGCATTTAATAAAACTAATTGAAATTATTAATCTAAAAAAGTTGGGCATACATTTTTAAACTCCAAAAAGTGTTTTCTAATTGAGATAAATATTTGATTGTTTTTTAGTTTAAATATGATATTATGTATACTAATATATTTAAAATTAAGATAAAGTGCACAAATGATCCAATAATAAGATATTGTTTTATTAAGTCTTTAACTATTAAAAGTTATAAAATGATCCTTTAGCTATAGGGTGGTACTTTATTGAGTCACTCGACTATTAAAAGTTACAAAATAGTCACTCGATTAATCATATGTTCCAAACTCGTCCTTTTATGTTAAAAATTGATGATCGACTAAGTTGGACGTTAATATATTTTTTGTACACTCAGTATCATTATGTAATCACCATACATATATCAATCAATTATACATCTATGACTACCATAACATATACGTACATACTAAATGTACTCACCTGGATTGTCTCGTTAATGTATCCAAAACGCAACGTTGATTACTCTGGTACTTTGCCTTTAGTTTTGTTTGCCTCGGGAGTTTGATTTCGATCTACTCAAGCATCCAATAAAGACATGTACAATATTAATTGTTAGGAAATATACTAACAATTATACTTAAACATTACTCAAGAGTACATATTATTATATTTTCTATAATAATCTTAGCTTATCTTCACATTTCTAGCTCAATAGTATCAATACCTCTACCATTGTATCGATACTACTATACTATGGTACCAATACCATTTCTTTATTCAGTTAACAATGGTATCGATATCATCTTCATAGTATCGATACTCCCCTCTTGGTATCGATACCACTTGAATCGGTATCGATACTACTCAGCGAATTCTACTAATTTTAAGCCTATAGTATCGGTATTGTTCTATCAGTACCGATACCATTACCCAAATTTTACATTTTTCATTCCGAAAATTACCAAATTTGGTCAAATTTCCTTATGTTTACCTCCAACAATACTATTAAACTCTTCTCTATTTATCCCTATTAACTTTCTTTCATTTAGCTTCTTAAAACATCTAAAATCCCTCAAGCTCACTTGAATCTAAGAATCATACCATATTTTTTAACTTTTTTTTAAACTCATCCAATGCTTCTAATCTATTATTTACTTCATTGACAAGTCAAATCTACTAGTAAACATCAATAAACACTCATATCAAAACATATCATTACAAAACCCATTTATTTAAATCTTTCATATTTCATCCATCTTTTAGGTTTACTCCTATTTAATCCTTCCTCAAGCCTCTATAATAGTCAATACTTCAAAAACCAACCAAAAATGGAAGAAGAAACTATCCAAATAAACCTCATCTTTGCAATGGGGGAGAGCATGTTCCACAGGAGGAAGAAGAAGAAAAGAGAAATAGCTTTTTGTCTATCTTCCTTTCCCCTTTCCCTTACTTTAATACCCTATTAAATAAAATGAATTTAAAATTCATTTTCCTTTAAAGGACCAAAATGCCCTCTTTATTCCTCTATTGATACAATTTAGTCTAATATTATTCCAAATCATTTCCTCATCTTTTACCATTTATTCAATTAAATTTCAAATATGTTCAATGCAGTCTCTAACCTAATATTTGTGGTATTACACTCTACCTAAGGTGGCAATTCTATAGTTCACTATATGCATGGTTTCGGTTCCAAGGTAATATAGGTACTCGAATTATCCTTGATGTTAGTGCCCACTTGGACTATCAAACCCTCAATACTCATTCATTATAGACTTAAGCAGATCGAGTTCAATTCGAGGAAGTGCATTCCTTATGTCTAACGAAGGGCTTCTCACAAAGATCATAAGGGCATGTACTTCAAGAGTGATTCACTAGCCTGTGCGGAGGGATACTCACGAAGGCACTAGCGACTCACCCCCACGTAGTGAGACAAAACTCGGGTATAGAGCTTATGGCATGCAAATGCATGTGATATGTGTGAGGAAGAACTCACAAACCTTTTGACAAAATAAAGACTCATTTTTTGAAAATCTTAACAAGTTCAAAAACAAATAAATCAAACATCATAAAACTATGTAAAAAAATGATGCATGATTATGAAAGTTGAAATTAAAAAGGTTGTAATTCAAGTAAAGGTTCAAATTTATAAAATTTTAACTACTCAAACAACACATAATCGGTTAAGGTCTGACTCTCAAATAGTCCCTATCGAAGTCGTCAAATTGTCATAACCATTTTTTTAAAATAAATTAATTTAAAAATAATTATGACTTTATTTTGGAAAATTTGGATTTCAGTTTAATTTGAAATTTATTTGGGAATGATTTGGAGTCGCCAATGACCTTTGGATTAGGTAGGTCGAATACCTAAAAAAATTATTTTTAATGAATTTTAGAAAAAATCATTTTAAAGTCAAAAGTTGATTTGCGTACTACCAGAGATTCATTTTTAAGAATCTGAGAGTCGATTGCGTATGGGGAAAGATTAACTCTCGCACAACGCCCAAAATTGGTACCTCTCGATTATACGTTGTATAAGTAGTGGAATTTTACATATTCGAGTCCAAAATTTAAATTACGATCCTTTTATTTTTATGACTTTTTTAAGAATAAGTGAATCTATTTTAAAAATATTTGACACGATGAAAATGATTTAATTTACTCGATTTTATTTGAAAATGATATTCCCTTACTACATGAATTAACAGAAATTGAAATCCAGTTACGTTGGTCGTAATTTCGTTAACTCATGATGCAAAACAACATTAGCTTTGATAATTTTTGAAAATGAGAAAATGAATGTATGACACATGAATGCAACAATAATAAACGACATATATAAAATGGATGAAATATCATTGTAATAAATAGATAAAATTAAGCAAAGATAAATAAACAAAACAATTAAATCATGATAAATAAATAAATTAATAAAAATAAAATATTTGTATTTATTAAAATAACTTCATTATGAAAGTTTGAAAAAAATATTTATTAAAAATAAATAAGATATATATAATCGACTTAATAAACAATAAATAATATTAAAATTATTTTATTCGAATAACTCTCGAAAGGGCATCATAGATTTTTGGAGGTCTTTCATAAGTTAATCGAACAATAAGAGGTATTACATTGGCTTAAACTCGAATAGAATAAAAAATATTTAACTATTTAAAAATGTATATATATATATATATATATATCTAAACAGAAATATATTAAATAAATAAAATATGTATGTAAACTGGGCGTCACTAAATAACAACACATATAAAATAAATATAGACATGTAAATATATACATATGAAATGATACAATATACTTAAAACATTAATATAAATGTCGAACACACTTAATACATAAATAATGAGCATATGTATATAATAACCTACTAAAAAGGAATGAAAATATGCGTTTTAGTATATATGCATATATGTCAATACGCAAGCGAAGTATAATGGCTAAGGCATTAAGTATATTTGATATGTATATATACTAAAAGTATAGGGACCAAAGTGCATAGATGTTAAACTTAAATAAAGAAACAATAAATGACAGATTACATTAAAATAATGAGGAATAACATGGACTAAACATACAAATAATACAAGGGTCAAATTTGAAACAAATAAAAATACAGGGGACTCACAAAACATTAATCTATGTCATTTCAAGCTAAAAAAATAATTTAAATTAAACACTAACAAAATCAGAGGATCTTAACGCATAAATAAATTAGTTTCAAACAAAATTGCAAATAAGGACTAAAATGTAACGAATAATAAATCAATAACCCTAAACATGTGATTTTACCCGAAGCATAATAATAAACATGAAGTGACAAAATTGAAAGTATGAACTATTAAAAGGATCGCGAACAATATTAACCCAAGTTGCATTTCATGATTTAATCAAAGGATTACAAAGATTGAGGTACCTGGGTGGGTATTAACCCACGTGGGTTTGGCATGGTTGCCCTAACCCTCAAAACTACGCTGTTTTGCTTTGAGTTTAAATACTTTTTTATATAATTTTCAACGCTAACCCTCTTTATTTTTCCAGCTGTATCTCCTCTCTTCCTCACCCTTTTTCTTTTTTTCTTTTCTCTCAACCAAGAGAAGAAGAAACTTCTCCGGCCACCACCTAAATGGCTCCGGTGAGGGTCCGATTTTTATACCATCTTTTCACAACCCCAAACAAAGTTGATACCAAACCATGCTCCGATTTTTACCATCTCTCAAAACAAAACCCTAAACAAAAATAAAAGACTACCTTGAAGGTTTGAGACTAACTTTCCTACGGTGACACAAATATCTTCGGATTCTAGAGATAAAATATTAGTCTATTTTTTTCTTTGATTTGTGTTCTCTTCTTTTTTTTCGTCTCCTTTTTTTCCGAAATTCTATCCTTTTTTTTTTCTTGGCCTTCTTACCCAAAAATCACTCCAAATATTATAATATTACTGTTTCCTCAAATTTTACTAATATAGTACCCTTTTTAATAATTACGTGGAATACGACTTTGCTTAAGTGGAATGAATGTGCTGAAGAGTGCCTGAGAAATTTTTACATGATACCACGTGGGAAGGCATGTTTTAAGGGGCATACCTTCTATGGTTCACATCAGATTCTCTAAAAGTATTTTAAAAAAATATATTTTAAAAAAATTAAAAAATAAAACTATAGTGACTAACATCATAATTTAATGCATATTAGTTCAATGAGTTGAATAGCTTAATGAGATTAGTTTATATAGGTAT